CGACTTCGATGTGTATCATCTTCTGTTTAGTCGCCATCCCGGGTAAGTTTTTCAGTGTATTGCACATGATGGCCACAGTATTCATCACTGCGGTTCCCGACACGTACTACTGTACCATCCCAGAGTCGCTCGTCACAGAGGTAAGATATCTCCTGCTATCACATGATCATGATGTATACACTTCATAGAAGCCTATGCTAATTTGAAATATCACCATGATATGGTGCGGTAAACGTCACTGTATTCACGTTAAACATCATCATTCTATGTGTGTTCGAACACATAAACCACGCTTGTACGGCGTTAACGATTTCATAATGAATAACAACAATTACCTGAATGTCTGAAAAAAAAATATTTCAATAAAAGTTACCGATAGAAGGGTAATATTTCTGCCGATTATTTATAATCAGCAACTGTAGCGGAAAATGGACGTCCACTGACGTTTTCTTTTAAAAATGAGTCGGTAAGGCGGTGCTTCATGTTTCACTAATTCTGTGCTGATCGACCAGCACAATTTTGCAGTGCGGACACTGACAAGAAACATAACTTCTTTGTTAGGCTTTTTAGTAAAAATATTATCAGCAGATATCACTCGTTCGGTTGGTGAATAACAATAGCTTATGACGCCACTTTGATCAACTAGTCCCACGAACAAATGCCATAGGGTGGTATATTATCATATTCATAGATACGTTATCACTTGTGATATGTTTCACAAATTCCGTATATTTTTTTATTGCAGCAAATAATTCAAATGCGTACAGACAATTAAAATGACAATAAAATAGTGAACGGAAAATGAAAAAATGAAAAAATTAAAAGCGAAAACTCTTAAATTATAATTTGGTGAGAATCACAGTAGTAGTCCTGTTGGATTAATCGAGTCTGTCTGTATTTCATTAGTTTACATATCATAACGCATTACAAAAACTTGTGAGTAATTAATTAGCATGAAAAGGACGAGAAATTATGTTTGCCGAATGTATAACCAGTTTAGGGTGAATATTATCATGCTCAAAGGATTTGTTTATACCTAAGTGTTTGATTTCATTGAATGCACCCTGTTGGCAAAAAAACGTGCTTAAGGCCTTTGATTGTGCAAAATACAGGAAAATGATGGGTGATTTCTCACTCATTAACACCAGTGTCAATGAAGTAATATTTGTGACCCGCGTGGGAGTGAAATTCATACGTGTTTAAACGGGTCTGGTACTGTGTCGAAGGGGGGATACTCTGTGTTGTGTCAATGTTTACGTCGCCAACAATAATACACTCTGTGCCCTTGATCGACAGCAGGTGAATTTCTTCAAACTGTCAAGGAATTCAATAAAAGTGGTATTTGGTTTAGGGTAAATTACTCCTGCAATTAGTTTGTTTGCTATTAATGAGTGTCTCAACAAAGATTGTTTCACAGTGCATAACATTAATTATTTTAAATCGTGGTAAAAGGCAGAGAACATATAGTGCCACGCCTCCTCCCTGAAATGATGGGATGTTATATAACGATTTGAATACGAATTTAACTAAGTCTCGGAGATAGCAATGAATTGAAAAGGATGGCACAAAATACTCAATAGCGAAACAAACTCGTCAAAATGTTTGGAAAGAGATCTGATATTTAGGTGAAGGGAAGAACATGATTTGGGATAACAAGCATGCTTTGAATTAAACTGATCAATAGAATAGGGTTTGCAATCGGATTTGATCGGCGACAGTTCTTGGTGAGAGTTCATCAACAGTATGTGGCTAACATTGAACAAAACATGGGGTCATTTAAACTATACAATGCAGGTTTTTTGGACTGGATCACAATCGCCCTTTCTCACATAAATGCTGCTGTTGTTTGACCATATGTAACCCCACCTTATTACCTTGCGTTGCTGATTTACTTCATAAAATAATTGTCTGTTGTTCAACCACAATTAATTTTAATCCCATTCTTTTTTTTTCTAGGGCGTTTTGAATATTCAGTTCGTCATTGTAACGGAAATGTTCACGCCACATAAATTACTTACGCTGGTCTTCTGGACTGTATGTGCTGGACTGTCGGGGTAATGCTGCTGGCCATAATTGCTTATGTATTTCAACACTGGAGGGCGTTTCAATTGGTCATCTCAGCTCCTGCGTTGCTGACGTTTTATTATTACTGGCAAGTAATATTTATTCAGATATTAGTTGGTATTTGATGAATCGATAATTTTGCAAATTAAATAGTCTCACATTCTGGGTTAAATTTGTAGTAATTTTAGCTAATTTTAACCCCCGTTTCTTTCATAAATTAGACCGTTTAAACAAGAACATTTACTAACAATTGTTATTGATCAATAATGTTTTTATTGGCTAATGTATCGTTTGAAGGCCTGTTCAGCATTTGTCAACAACCAATCATAAGACTGGTTACGAACCACATCGAGGTTAGCCTTGCTCAACTGGTTCGTAAGCAGTCTTGTGATTGGTTGTTGACAAATGCTGAACAGGCCACGCCTCCAATTGTGCCGTGCGTTCGGGCAAACCGTTAAGTATTCGTAAATTGAGTCAATTTGCGTAGTTTTCTTGATTTATTCTGCAGATAAATGTAAAATATAGGTAAGGCTTTGGCGAAATGTGAAAGAACAACTAATAATCTTCAACCTGGTATTTTTTATAGATTTTATTTTTCATTCTGTTCGTCTGTTTTTTCCAGTTTAAATAATATGAGCTCGCCGGAGCCTTCATCCCTTGTCTATTTCTTACACTAG